ATGGAGCAACATTCTCTTAACAACCATCTTGCTTAACAACAGAAATGTTGGGTTTGGTTGTGGTCGTAAGTGGAGGATTTCCTGTATCTTCTTTCCTTTGGGTCAAGAGTACAGGGTGCCCATCTATTACCAGTTTGTGCAGTTCCCAGATTCCTTCTGCAATTCCCCAAGACACTTAATTTTAGCTACAAAGTCTGGGGCTGAAGTGCAGATGAAAACTGAAGACAAGTAAGTTGACCTGAGCGTACTTAAAACCAGAAACTCTGATTTTTTTAAAAAAATTGAAACCAATCCTTCCATATAAGGTAGGTGACATCATGCTGATGGCACTCTCTGCAAAACCTCAGTCGCTGGAATCAAAAACCAAAAATGAAGTGTGCAAAAACCCCACTGGCCACAAAATGTTTTCTGGCTTCTTTTTTAAAGGGGTAACTTACAGCCTACTCTCCCCATTTCTGTTCATCCAAGATGCAGCGAACTGAATTTTGTATCTGCTTCCTCTAACCTTAACCACGAAGCAGGCAGCCCACCTCCTCATTCCTCCCCATTCCTCCCTTTTTGATAAATCACCCGGCATTGTTACATTACTGGGAAATTCCAGGCAGGATCTTAAAAAGCTTAATCAGCCTGGCATGCATTTAGACTAATGAAAGACATTCAGCTGCTGTGTTTAGAGATATTTTTCTTTTAATTCCTTTTGTCTCTTCCTTCTTGTTTTTCTTGTGGTCTCTTGTGGTCTACCCAAGAGCCATGAAAAAGAGAAGCTTGTCCTACATGTGATTTGTTCTCAGACAGAGATAGATATGACCATAGAAATCCTTTACTGAATTGTGCAAAACATTATAATTGAAACACATGTTGTGGTTATGAAGCCCGCTAAATGGAATTATTGACCAGAGGTTGCCTGGTAAGGCAATTCTTTTGTCCTGCCACCTGATTGAAAATTGATGGGAAGGCTTGGTATACTTTTCTTGAACCTTTTCCCATTTCCCAGAATGCAAGAGTTGCTTTGCAGATTCAATAGCAATTCGTTCTGTCCTCTTCTCAAAAGGAGTACACAAAGAACACTTCCCTCCAAAGGAAGTCTTTTCAAAACAAAAAAAATTATAAGTAGATCACTGGAGAACAGCCTAATGCTGGGAACGATTGAGGGCAAAAGAAGGGGATGACGGAGGATGAGGTGGCTGGATGGAGTCACTGAAGCAGTAGGCGTGAGCTTAAATGGACTCCAGAAGATGGTAGAGGAGAGGAAGGCCTGGAGGAACGTTGTCCATGGGGTCGCGATGGGTCGGACACGACTTTGCAACCAACAACAACAACAAAACAATACATTATTCCACAGCATTATTGCTACTTGTTCTTTTAATCTGGGAAAAGCATAAAAGCTGTTTTTCCTTCCCTCCTTTCAGACTGCAGTGTAGATACCATCAATGACAAATAGGCAGCAATACAAATCTAATAAATACATAAATAAATAAATAAAATACAATTCCCTTGGGGGGGAAAATGAGGATTTTACTTCAATGGATTCACAGGAAATCATGGCAAGACAGATGATATCTGGGGTGTAGTTTGGCTGCTGTTTATCTTTGGGGGGAAAAATGAGACCTGGTGTAGACTTACTTCCAAGGGGTCAAAAGTTTCTTCAGTTATTTTAACTCTTTGAAACAGGATCCAGTCTGGGTTGGTCACTGGGACCAGAGGCTAAATCCTCCACACTTTCGAACTAGTGCTGGAGCCCGTCCTCAGGGAATTTCTCTCTCACCAGTATGTGTGCTTTGGGATCTTCTATGCACAGTATTGATGTAGTACCCTTAATTTTTTAAAAGCCTACTACACCTTGAAAAGTGCTGGGCTCTTTGTAAAGAATGACTTACAGTACATCTGATTACTTAGTGATCATTTGAAGTTGGGATGACCTACCTAGGGGCTATTTATGACCTGGATTTGAAGTCTGATGGTTAGGACACTCCCCCCTCTGACTGAACTTCAGGTATAAAGATAACCAGGCTGCATTTATAGCTCTTTGCAGTGTCCCTGTGGCCCCATGATTATGTTTTACAATAGTTTCGATGAAAACCAACATTTACTTCTGAGGTTTGGTAAATATGCCCATAGCAAACCATTGGTTCATTTAACAGCCGATGTGTTTGCTTAATAACCATGGTATTCGCCACAGAAAAGGCTCATAAAACCGGGCCTGAAAATGCTGCCAAGAAAATTTCTGGGACTTGTCCAGGCCATCACCAGCTGTCAACAATGACCTGAAGGTATGCACAGATGCACACATTGAAAAGATCTCCCAATTCCTAGTCGACATACAATATTTAAAACAGAATTATACACCATCCTGGCATAAACTATGAATCCAGAGAGAATTGGGCAATTGAGATGTCTTTTAAAATTCATTGAGGACTGTCTTAGTGATAACCCCAAGTCAATTCGTTAATAAGCAGCTTAGGAATCTCACATTAAGGAAGGCATTGTCTGCTAAGATATTTTAGTATAATATTTAGATGGACCGCCACTAGAAAATCCCAGACATAAGCTAGCAAAGGCGAACCATTTCCATATTATTGCCCCTTTGCAAACGCCATCCCCACCACCCTACATGGGCTTCTCTGATAGAGATATTAGGAGTCAAGCTGAATTTAAGGAGAACATATGTCTTTTTCATCTGATTCTTCCCTAGCATCTTAAAATGTTTTGATTGGGGGAAGCAAAGGATGAGAAAGGGTGCAATAGAGTTAGTGACTGGCAGGTTTGCCAACCAACCAGAGTGACCTTGATAATCAGATCATCATCACCTCTCCAACAAGTTCTTGGAGTGAGGAATATGTAAGAGTTTCACTGTATATTGACCTCTTTTTCATTTGCCATCACTGAAAATTGTAAGAAAAACTTTAGGATCTGTCTCATTAAGGTAGCTCTCCACTCACAACAGTTCGTTTAGTGACCGTTAACAGTTACATCACTGAAAAAAAGGGACTTATGACCATTTTTCACACAATTGTTGTAGCATTTCCATGGCCATGTAATTAAAATTCATACGTCACAGTGATCATTTTTTGTAACCTTTTTATAAGCAAAGTCAATGGACAAGCCAGATTCACTTAACAACCATGTTACTAATTTAACAACTGCAGTGATTCACTTAACAACTGTGGCAAAAAAAGGTCATAAGATGTGACAAAACTCACTTAAGAAATATCTCGCTTAGCAACAAAATTTTTTGGCTCAACTGTGATCTTAAGGACTACCTGTAAAGAGAAATATTGCTCTCTCTCCTTCTCTCCCTCCCTCCTTTTACTATACATTTCCTACTGTAAGATGTTGTTGCCCTATACATTTCATTAAATCCTATCTCCAAAAAAGAAAGTTGAGACACCTGAAAAAATAGATTTTAAAGGCTTGCAAGATTAGAAAGTAAAAAAAAATACTAGAAGAAACAATGCATCTATTTCTATAAAGTTGCCAAAAGAAACCACACATATATAATCATCATCAATGGAACTAAGATGATTTCTGGGAGCCAAGTCGCTGTGGGACAACTTACCGCAGGACTAATATCAAATGGTGGAATAGAATCGTTTTTTTTAAAGGATGCAAAAGGAGGGACAAAATAAAATGTGAATGACAGAAATTAAAATAATTTTTAAATTATGTTAAATACTTAAATTGAATGTTTGAACTTGCCTCTTAGCAAGTTGTCCCACAGTGAGTTGGCCATGGCGAGTTGGTTGTGTTGAGTTGCCCCATTCTGATTTCTATGAAACTAGATGTAAGCCCTTTTGCTATGCTGTTCCTGCTCCTATCTTTTTATTTATATTGTCCTGAACAAGGGAATTTTCCTTTTTTCTCAATTAATCTTTCATGACTCCAGGATTTGGATGAGTCATGAAAGCTTGCCTGACCAATATTCTAAGCTAAGGATCCAGCTGAGAGGTAGATTGAAAGGTTTTTAAAATGTTTTGTCTGAGAGCCTCAGCTAATTCAAACCAGCTGATCAACTGAAACGGGAGATTCACTCTGAAGGGTTATTATAACACATATCTCAAAGAATGTGATTCACTTTTTGAGGTTGGCCTGAATTGCTGACAAAACCCACAATTTTTAAAATTTATTTAAACACTCCTCTGGAAAAGTTTATAATGACCAACCTTAAACATTAACAGCAAATTCAGTAGTTTACCCTTCCTTTCTTCCCTTCTTCCCTTCTTTCTTCCCTTCTCTCCTTTCTTCTTTTGTTTCCTTTCCTTTTTCTCTCCTCCCCTGCCTTCCCCTCTTTTTTCTTCACAGGACTTTTACTGGCAAACAGCAGCTAATGGTCAAGCCCCCAAACTATGGTCAAGCCCACAACTTTCGTTCAGTCACTCTTTCTCTATCCAATCTGCCTCACAGAATTATTATGATAGGGAAGGAGGGAATGTAATGTATGTTGCTTTGAAGTCCTAGATGAAAAGAGAGATGCAAATTTAATATATAAATAATTTATATAATAGTAAAACTCTCTTGTTGGTTTATAACATTCAATTGGGCAAAATGGTGTGTCATAGGGCAACACTTTTTGAATCAATACACCTTAAATTGCAGAATGCATGCAAAATCTGAGATCCATGACTCATGTGGATTTAAATTTGGCAAAACAGTGACCAGTCCAGTGCTGTTGGGCAGGTTACTGTGCTGCCATGATCAGCCACAGCCACATAATGTGGATTTAAATTTGGCAAAACAGTGACCAGTCCAGTGTTGTTCAGCAGGTTACTGTGCTGCCATGATCAGCCACAGCCACATAATCATCATTTCCAACACTCCCTATCAGTTTCCTGCAAGGAAAATCAGTGGGGAAATCAACAGGAAGTCAGATCTTGTTCCTTTTTGCTCAACCATGTTCATTCTGTTTCTCTGTTTAGGTAAAGAAGCATTTCTGAAAGAATGACCCAATGGGTCACAGATTGTCTTGTAATCAATCACAATCAATCAACTTTTATTATCAGAGTACATGTGTACAATAAGATTGGCTGAGCCTCAAAATAATATTTGTCTTCTCCTGACACACAGCTAACTTGATCCATTTTATTATTGAGCTCTTGATATGCTGAATTTCTGTACACAGAACCTTAAGGCTACACGATCTGGGCCCCTACATTGCACATGATCAATAGATGGATGCAAAGAAATATAAGGGGAAAATTGCTATTACCATCAAGTAGGTTTGAGTGCAGTTCTGTGTTGTGGGATCTCAACTATTTCTGAAAGGGATGTCATAGGGTGGATAGGATCAGGGAGTCAGACACATTTGGGCAGATAACTGGCATTCATTCTCACTTCTGGAGAAGAGCTGGATGCCAGGGCTCCACAACTGAAAGATCCCTCAGCAGGAACTGACAAGTAGGTTCAATGCAGTGGTGGGATTCAATTTTTTTTTACTACTGGTCCTGTGGGTGTGGCTTGGTGGGTGTAGAAGGGGAAGGATACTGTAAAATCTCCATTCCCTCTCCACCCCTAGGGGATGGTTACTGCAAAATCCCCATTCCTTCCTCACCCCACTAACCTGCTTTCTAGCTCTGTTCTCCTGTGCAGAACAACAAAAGAAGACCCAGCCAATCAGCTGGGACTTGGGAGGCAGAGAATAGATGGGGGCGGGGCCAGTCAGTGGTAGTATTTGCTCTACTCAAAATTTCTGCTACCAGTTCTCCAGAACTGGTCAGAACCTGCTGAATACCCAATGGTGGGATTTAAATAATTTAACAACCAGTTCTCTGCCCTAATGATTTCTTCCAACAACCAGTTCACCAAACTGCTCTGAAAGTTAACAACCGGTTCTCCCGAAGTGCTGCGAACTGGCTGAATCCCACCACTGTGAAAACCACCTCTGGTTCAATGGTTTCAATTTTTGAAATCTAGTTCAGTATCGATTATCCAGGGACTAGTTCTATTTACCACAAAATCCTTTTAAAATATTCTAAAGAGAATGTCTAGCCAGGAGGGAGATGGCCAAGCATGTACATAATTAGAGATGCTAATTTCAGTACATTATCCTTTTCTATAACCATATATTTTCTTATTCTCAAGTAGATGGGCAGTCAAACTGGTGTTACTGTATAAGTAAATCTTAAACTGTACAGAGTGTTGTTGTGTTTTTAAATTAGGGCTGGCAATCAATTTGTGGGCTGGAATGCAAACATCAGAAATGTAACTTTTGTACTTTACAAGTGATGTAATACAATCAGACTAAGGAATGAGGGGAGGTTTTCCTCAAAAAATTATTTAGCTTTATCACTGTTCTCCCAGCTCAAAAACCCAAATAATTTCATATGTTGTATTGCTGTATGTATGTGTGTGTGTGTGTGTGTGTGTGTGGTAAACACATACTTTCGTTTCAGTATTAACTCTTGGCACATACCTGAACAAGCCTCAGCAATTTTCTTTGCAAGATTTCAGAAATGCTTTGCCACTGCCATCTTCTTTGGGTGACTTGCCCAAGATCACTTAACTGTCTTTATGCATAAGGTGGATCTAGAACTCATGGTCTCCCAATTTCTAGCCTCTTGTCTTCACCACCACACCAACGGCAATAGCACTTAGCCTACATACCACTTCACAATGCTTTACAGTCCTCTCTAACCGGTTGTCCCCAACAATCTGAGTCCTCATTTTACCAACCTTGGAAGGATGGAAGGCTGAGTGAATGTTGAGCTGGTCAGGATCAAACTCCTGGCAGTCAGCAGAATTAGACTACAATACTGTATTCTAACCACTGTGCCAACACCAAACCAATTCTTTTTATGACATTATATGAATTACATCAGTGATCCCCAACCTTTTTTATGCCGTGGCCCGGTACCGGCATCAGCTGGGCGCCGCGGCCCGGTATCGGCATCAGCTGGGCGCCGCCATCTTTTTTTGATGAAAAAGTGCTTTTTCATCAAAAAAAGATGGCGGCGCCCAGCAAACCAGCGGCCCGGTAGGACTTGTTCCACGGACTGGTACCGGTCCACGGACCGGTGGTTGGGGACCCCTGAATTACATGATGATGTATATGACATTATTGTGGCTTATAAAACTGATTTATGTTGGCATATTACTAGTGAAGTTATAGACCTGAGAAGAAAGGGGCTTCAAGTACAAAAGCAGTTTCTAAAAATTTCTTGAAAGAGGCTATTGTTTGCTGTGTGCAAGGATTCATGTTATTTTTCTTCTTTACACAGTCATTCAACAATGTGAAGCAATGAAGTTCACTGAGGCTGGAACTGGAAGAGTTCCCTTCATTCATAGACAGAAAAGAATTTGAATAAACATTGCGTAAATAATTTATGGCTGCGGATTCTCCACATTTATCACAGGAGACACACTGTGATGTACCTCAAGGAGTTGAGAAAAAGACATGGAAAGTCCCTGCCCCAGTTTACACATGAATACCTTGGTTCTAAACAGGGGTGGGCTTCAAAAATTATAGCAAGGGATTCTCTGCCTGGTTGCTAGGTGAGTGTGGCCATGGTGGGCGTGGCCTAGTTGGCCCCCTGCACTACAGTGGGGGGGGGCATATTTGCCTTCCCTGGGCTCCAGAGGCTTTCCTTGAGCCTCTGGGAGGGTGAAAACAGCCATACCTGGCTCCAGAGGCTCTCTGGAAGCCAGAAACGGGCCCGTTTCCAGCCTTCCAGAACTTGCGGGAGGCCTGTTTTTTGCCCTCCCTGAGCCTCCCCACACGCCCAGCACTTACCTGCATCCAAAATGGGCCATGTGGGGGAGGGGAGGAGAGGGGTAGGCGGGACAGCCAGGAGTGGGATTTGGGGGTTCTCCAAACTGCACATACTCTTAGCTAGGGGCTCTCCCGAACCCCTGCAAGCCCCCAGCATCCCACCCCTGGTTCCAAACCTGCAGTTTGGTTCTGCAGTTTACTCCTTGTATCACTATTGCCTTCATCTTAATACATTTGGCTGAAGAGAATGTTGCAAAATTCATACTTGGGGGAAAAACACGGTCGGCTCAAGTAGCTACCAGGGTTTGACAGGAACCAAAACAGGCTTAAAGGTGTCCAAAGGCTTCAAACCTCCTATGTTGGCCCTAGATGCTGCCAACACAAAATCTTTCCCTTATAAAACTTCTTGAGAGTTAGCGATTTTCTAAAGGTTTCCTTACCTTTGAAATAGGTCATATTCACTGATGGGGGAAAGGAAGGCTGGTAGGTTGTTGGGTGCTTTTTTTTTGGTTTACTTACATAATGAAACTTATATTTCCGACAACCTTACTTGGTCGGTCCACACTATGGCCACTGCAAAGAAGGCCCAACAGCACCTGCTCTTTCTGAGGCTGCTGAAAAAAAGTGGTCCGGGTGAGAAGTGGCTGGTTACTTTTTACCGTTCTACCATTGAGAGCATTTTGGCATACTGTGTAACTGTGTGGTCTGCTGGATGCTCTGCAGTGGATAAGAAGATGCTCCAGAGAGTTATAAACACAGCACAAAAAATCATCGGTTGCTCTCTTTCTTCTTTGGAAGAGATTGTGAAGACCAGACTCCTCTCTAGAGCACTAAAAATCTCCACAGACCATTCTCATCCTGGTCATTCATACTTCGAACTGTTACCATCAGGGAGATGTTATGTCTTAAAATGAGGACTAATAGACTGAGAAACAATTTCTTTTCCAAGGCAATAATTGTCTTGAATCAAACAGTGCATTTGTGATTTACTCCTATGCATATAGTGGCATTTTTAAACTATTTAATTTACTAAATGTTTTAGACTAGGTTTTTAATTATTATTATTATTTTAATTTTTAAATACTCTGTAGTGTGATTGTGATGTGGTGTTTGGGGCACTGTGCTGGAGTAGCTTTCAAATTTTATTGTATTCGTGGAATGCAATGACAATAAAGGTATTCTATAGTTTAGTGATATAAGTAAACCAAAAAAAAACCCAATTCCTTTTCTCCCATCAGCAAGGATGACCAAGGGGACTCATATCAAAGGTAAGGAAACTTGTAGAAAACAGCTTACTTTCAGTGGGCTCTACAGTAGTGTAAATGAAGCAAGTATTGCAAACATCCTGTGGATATTTAAAGTACTTTTCTCCAGAAAACACACAAATGCTAATTCTTCTCTGCTCAGGGCGCAGAAAACAAGCAACAGGAAGGAAATACATCATTTCATCTCCTTCCTCTTCCTCTTTCCACCATCTGATTATAAGGAGCACAGAATTTTGCATTTTGATTTCTGACATCTATCTCATTTGGTTTGTTCAGCACAATTTCACATGAGTGTCGGCAATTCTTCATTGCATATCAATGGAAGCCTTGAGTCACAATGAAGGAATATTTTGCTCATCTATCAACTATCATCCTTACCAAGAAGAGGGAAGGGCGGAATCAAGAAATAGTTTTGTGGTCGATATGATTATATATATATATATATATATATGTGTGTGTGTGTGTGTGTGTGTGTGTGTGTGTGTGTATGTGTATGTATATATGTATATTACATTTATTGTACTTACTAAGCTTTCGTCAGCCTCTGCTGACACTGTCAGAGTGTGTGTGTGTGTGTGTGTTATATATATATATTTGTTTTCTTAAGTTTTCGCGGGTACTTACATGTATGGCATTCAGCTTTGTTCGGGTATTTTCCCACGTCATTGTACTTGTGCTTTTAAAGTTGTAGCAACGTTTTGGCAGAATCTCATCTGCCATCATCAGGCTTCTGTATAGCAGTGGTCCCCAACCTTTTTTGTACCAGGGACCAGTTTCACGCAGAAACACTTTTTCAAGGACCGGGGGGTGGGGGGGAGAAGGAGTCCGAGTTTGGTGGTTTGCTTGCAGACGTTTCATTACCTGACTAGGTAACATCTGATGTTGTTACCTAGTCGGGTAATAAAACATCTGCCAGCAAACCACCAAGTTCAGGGAGCGCCAATGCCTCCTCATTGCAACCCTGAGCGACAGATATTCTCTTCTATTGGGACATTTAAAACAGAGGGTTTCAGCTGCAGATTCAGGAACTGCGCCGGGC